AAAGGAAAAAACGTTATGCTCAAATTCTTTTTTTTGAATTTTCGTTAAATTTGGTCAAACTATGGTCAAACTTATTATCCAAGAAGTATTAGTGTTACTACATAATTATTACTAAATAATTATTTCAGTTTTTTTGAATTTTGGTCAAATCTGGTCAAACTATGGTCAAACTGTGCTCAAACTATGGTCAAACTTATTATTCAAGAAATATTAGTGTTACTAAATAATTATTCAAGAATATTAGTGTTACTAAATAATTATTTCATTTTTTTTGAATTTTGGTCAAATCTGGTCAAACTGTGGTCAAACTATAGTCAAACTATGGTCAAACTTATTATTCAAGAAATATTAGTGTTACTAAATAATTATTGTTTTTTAGAATAACAGTTTCAAACTCAAACAGTGAAACGTGTGACTTCATGCTCAAGCTAAACTCATGAGGGTTAATAGGATTGACATCTTACTATTGTTAGGAAAACAACAAGTGCAGACTTGGAAACGAGGGGGAATAGAACCCGGAGGTTAAGCGTGTTCAGGCTGGAGTAGTGAGAGGATGGGTGACCGGCCGGAAAGTTAGATGATTTAGAATGATGACGGGTGATTAGAGATTAGAGGTTAAATTAAGCAGTGATGAGGGGGATGAGGGGTGATTAGAGATTAAATTGTAAAATAATTCAGAAACTTGAAAATCCTGAAAAAAAATAAAAAAAAATGAAAATTGTAAAAATACCTTTAGTCCCGGTTGGTGTTACCAACCGGGACTAAAGGTGGAGCTCCAGACAGCGGCCACGTGGAGGGGCTTTAGTCCTGGTTCGTATAAGAACCGGGACTAAAGGGGGGTGCCTTTAGTGACGACCCTTTAGTCCCGGTTCCAGAACCGGGACTAAAGGCCTTCACGAACCGACATGAATGGGGCTTTTTCTACTAGTGTAAGTGAACCAGAGAGACTGGGAACCTTCTTGATGACCCCTCTCAGGGCAGGAAACTTTCAAGATGAAAAGAGGCCAGCAAACATGCTCTCCTCTGTCGTATGCCCCATCTCCTCCTCCGGTGTATGTACCTTGCCCTCCTTCGGCGTGTGCAATCTTACAAGCATGAGTGACATGCACACGACCTTTCACAATGATCTTGCCACTAGATCCATGTTATACTGATCCAACATGATGACCAATATATCTTGGGGAAACTGTTTCTCCTCATTTTTGAGACTACATGCCTAAATTTCTCCTTCTGCCTTGTGCTTTCTTGTATAGCATCCCATGTCTCCCCCTTTTCTTGTTGCTTTAGATCCCCCATCTCCAACTTTTCTTGCTTTCTTTTCTCCGTGTACCCATCCCTTGGTCTCATTGATCTTATTTTCCATTGCCTCCAACCCTCCTAATTGCTTTCTTCTCGCCTCAAATTGTTCAAAGGGCAACAATGATGCATCTTCAAGATCAAAATCATTAGTCCCAACAAAATTACGCATCATACTAAGTGGGAACGATTCAGCATTGAATCTACCAAATTCACAAATCATTGCTAAACACAACCATTGCACATTTGTCAATATTTTCACGTCCATGTTGCATTCAATCAAACCACTCCAAAGATAAGATAAAGAATATTTTTTCTACCTCGTTGATAGTTCTCCTCCCGCATCATACTAGGAAGGCAGCTGAGCTTCGCCCACTGATAAGAGAAAGGAAGAAGGGGCACGACATGGCCCGCCCCCATCTTCTTCCTTGCTTTTTTCATTGTGGCACCTGCGGGTAGTGGCATAGGGTTTGTGACCTCTGTGCCTGAGTAATTATCGGCAGGGTGGGCTAAGTGCTAGTCTAGGCGGCGGGGCGGGGGGGGGAGGGTGCTACTAGGACCTGCTGAAGAGTAGGAGGTGCAATATGCATTGAAATCGTCTGATCCGCACCCAAACCAATGGAATGGGACATGGGGGTCGAGGTGTCCATGGCCTTGTTGACGTGGACTGTGGTGACCCAAAGAGATTAAAGGCAACGATATGACAAGGGAGGGAAGTCGGCAGAACGGGCAATGGAAGAGGAGGAAGAGTAGCAGGAGTCGGTAATGACTTCCCCTCCCCACACACTCCAAATGTGAATTTTCGTGGGCTCAATTTGGAGAGATATCTAACAAAATATGGCAACGGCGGCGCAAGGTCATTTATCTCTTCTTGAAGACGTCGCGAAGGAAGTTAATTTGGTCATAGGTGTTAAATTCATATCTTATATTGGTTCTGCTGTTGTTGCCTATGCCTTGTACACCACTTGTTGATGACTTTGACTTCATTGCCTTGCATTAACTTTTATAAAAATATGGTTGGGTGCGTCACAATAATGCAGAGGTTGGAGGTAATAAAATCTTAAAAAAATGAATTATGACAACTCTACTAGAGTTATCTAAGCTAGTAGACTAGTTAATGTGGTGCGTACAGTTAAGTTGGGGCCTAAGGAAGGCCGGACCGAATATATGTGCATTACAAGGTACCCTCTTTGTTCCATAATGTAAGACGTTTTTCGGCACTAGTGTAGTGTAAAAAAACGTTTTACATATGGGACAAAGGGAGTAATCTCCATCACCGCGAGCCGACCCAGACTGTTGTGGTCCGTTCTAGTAAATTTACGCAATCAATCATGGCTAGTAATTTAGTATAAATGGCTAGTAATATTCTAGTGTACAACAGCTAGCATTCCACGTTATTCAAGTGTGATGCGGCGACATCCACTGCATTATTGCAGATGCATTGCATAATTGTATGTATTTAAACCTAACAGAGCAACAACTAGCAAGCTCAGATGAAACAAACTGTGCGACTTCCATTGTATTATTAGTGCAGATGCATTGCATACAACTACGCATTTAAACCAGAACTAAGCTAAGTATATCTCTACTTTTAATGGAGCAGTTGGTAGTCTCGCTTCCAGGTTTTTTTTCGTCCCACCACTTTCGTCCGGTTTTTTTTCGTAGGTTAACCGTCGTAGATTTTTTTCGTTGCCTCCCCCACTTCATCGGTTTATTTTCACTTCACCCTCTCACACAACGAAAAAAACTGAACGGATCAGAACTTTCCATACTGACGCAAATTATTTAGTAATGTCTTTATGTAAAAGAATCAATCACAATCAATCTCTAAAGATCAAATCTAAATTAATTAATCTTCATAACGTTTGTTTCCTTCCGAATCACGTCCATAACTTTCCTTCCTTGTTTGGGCAGAAACTGTTTGATAGCAGAGATTAGGAAGCTTCATATGAGTGTAGTAATAGGAAGTATTCTTTTTCTTGATGATTCGTTTCCATACTGACGCACATTATTTAGTAATGTCTTTATGTAAAAGAATCAATCACAATCAATCTCTAAAGATCAAATCTAAATTAATTAATCTTCATAACGTTTGTTTCCTTCCGAATCACGTCCATAACTTTCCTTCCTTGTTTGGGCAGAAACTGTTTGGTAGTAGAGATTAGGAAGCTTCCTATGAGTGTAGTAATAGGAAGTATTCTTTTTCTTGATGATTCATTTCCATGCATGATGATAATAAATTAGGCCAACATTCACCACTATTTATCAACGTCATCAATCGTATCCATTTCTACCAGTTTTAAGGGAATCTGCTCGCTATGTCTTTTTTAAGGGGATCCGCTCGCTAAGTCATCGTCGCACGTTATTCTCACAAGCAATTCCCCTAAAAAAGGCGTGGGTATTGGTAGTTGAACGCCCGCTAGGTTTTCCGCCTGTCCCATCCTTGCGCTGTGCCGCCGCCACCCGCCGAATTTCCAGCCGTCCGAGCCCGTTAACTTCGCCAGCCATCGGGTCGACTGCCCCTGCCCCAAACCCCCATCCCCGAGCACTAGCTATCGCCGCGTTGCCGCCCCAAGCTCCACGCCACCGGCAACGAATCAAGCGCCGTCCCGACACCGCCGTCGCCGGCCCAGCACCTCCAGCCTTGCATGGACAGCTTCAATGTGCAGTCTCCCTTGCTGCCTGACCTTCTGCCAGCGCATGCAGCGGCGGGGTTGGACGCGTGCGTGCTTGCTAGCTTGCTCTCCGTGCGTACGTACTTGCTCTGCGTGCGTCGCACCGGCCAATGCGCATGATGCGTGTGTGCCTGCTTTTCTGTATGTGTATGCCAGCGTGATGCGTGTGTGCGTTGCTGTGTGTGTATGATATAGATGGCCCGAGTGTGTGCATGCTGTGCTCTGCTCTCTGCTGATCTATGTGTTGGTGCTCCTGCTATATGTTCATGCCATACAAATGAAATTTCTGTTAATCTTCTGACATGTTGAGTTGGTTCTCTCTGTCTTCTGAGGGGGTGAATGCAAAGCAGTCTATTAAGCTAGGCACTATTGCTGAGCTAAATTGACAAAAAAATATTGGTAGCCATAGTTGTAGTTTAAGTAGTAGCGAGTTGTCTGATATGTATAAAGAGCCCGTTGCAACTGAGCCTGTTGCTAAATTGACAAAAAAGGTCGCCAGTGTCACTTGATATGTATGAGAATATTAAATGTATTATTAACATGACTAATATTGAACTCTTAAAGTTAATGTGGCCCCGTTGCAACGCACGGGCGTTCTTCTAGTACTATGTAAAAGCCAGAACTAGAACGAGTAAGCTCACATAAAACTAATTGCGGTGACATCCACTGCATTATTATTAGTGAAGATGCATTGCATACATGTACATATATGAACCACCACTAAGGTAAGCATATATATAAAAAAACAAGGCAACAAGTAGCAAACTCATATAAAACAAATTGGCAAAAGTCTACCCAATTATGTCCATACAAAATGCCCTATATAAATACATAATACAATAAAGTGGCCATGATTAGGGTCCATAACGACAAATAATACAAGATTAAAAATTCCCTAGCATGACAGATTACAACCACCCAATCTACATCAGAGTAGATATATACATTTTTCTGTCTTTAAGTAGCTACTCCTACAAGCTGAAGTTGCGACCCCCCCCCCCACACACACAGAGAGAGAGAGAGAGAGAGATGGCAAGCATGGAGGGCGCGGTGATCAGGCACCGGACTGTGGAGGTCAATGACATCTTGATGCACGTGGCAGAGGCCGGCCCCGAGGGGCACTCCAAGGGGACCGTGTTGTTCCTACATGGCTTCCCGGAGCTATGGTACACGTGGCGCCACCAGATGGAGAATCTGGCAGCACGCGGCTACCATTGCGTCGCGCCTGACCTCCGTGGCTATGGTGGTACCACCGCCCCGTCCGACGTGGAATCTTACAATGCCTTCCATATCGTCGGTGACATCCTCGCGCTTCTCAATACCCTAGGGCTTGCAAAGGTATGATTCAGTCCATAGGAGCTCGTTGAGGCCGGCCATTCTGATCCATCAAAGAACTAATTTTTTGGATCAGCATGCTTGTGTGGTTCATAGCCAAAATTTAACATGCTCTACTGAGTCAACTGAACCCATGTAGTAAGAAAAAAATCTCAACGATTAGAATCCTCCAAGAAATCTTTTGTAATAAAGTAGTCCTTAAGTGTATGTACGTGTTGCTAAAGTAATTTTTTGTTGAAACACTGATTGGACAAAAACATCAACCTAGTTACTTTTGTCGATCAAACTCGCTATATTATAGTGTGGCAAACGTAGACAAGCTAATCTTTGTGTTGACGGTCCTTTTGCACTTAGTAGTAACTATAAATATCTTTAATTGTTTATCTTGTAAGAATTAATACATATCCGTTACGTCAGTATCGGTTTTGTTTTTCGGATAGTGGGAAAGTTTTTTTTTAGGCGAAACTGTAGAACAATAGTTCTACGGTAGATAGTGGGAAAGTTCTTTTAATGATACGCCATTTACATTTACGATTTATGCAGATTTGGTGATAAAGATGCAAGTGGCCGATGTTGCCAAGAAAAAAATTAGATAATGGCTGGAGATCACTTTTTTTTGGGAAAGGCTGGAGATCACTTATGCTGTACTAGTATGAAACTAGTATTAGTGTGCCAAACGATCAAAGCATCCTCTCAAAAGAAAAAAAACGATCAATGCCTTTGTATCGAACTAGCATTAGTTAGTGTCTCCAGTCCAAAACGAGAACCAATACATGTGATGAGCCTTAGGGCATCTCCAGCCGTTGCCCC